TGAATCTGATTTTTAATTACAAAAACTTCAAACCCAATATCTTACAGTCTTACTTCTAAAGTCAGCTGTCTGTGTTTGATAAAGATAATTCCCACAGCACAGTAGTAGCAGGTGTTCTCTGATTGATTTTTAAAAGGCCCACATGGAAGCTTAGGATAATACAAAGGATTTTCTGAAGGAGAACTGAAATCGAATTACATTATTATAATACATATAAATAAATGCACTGTTGCCATAGTAATTTATGACTACAGTTTTATATAAGAGCATTTAAATGTGAATGGTTTGTCCTCATAAAGCATGAAAATACGCAAAACAGGATGTTTATATTCAGGTCAGTGTCACATGACAGCCTGCTGACCTGACAGACATTATCTGCTCTCAGAAAACGCTACACATGTGATGGGTTAAGAACATTTCCTGATCACATTTACAATGAAAGCTGCAGAGATTATCAGCTGTGTAAAATTTTTAAAGGTGATTTTTCAAAATTAAACAAAAATCATTTGCTCTTTTGTCATCATTTGTACGTTTCAAATAACAAATATAAGTTACATACATTTATATCTCTAAAGAATGACATCCTTCTTTAGAGTAGGTGGAAGCTTTCATTGTTAAATTATTTAAAACAAATACTAGTTGAACTGACCCCCTTGTTTCAGTTAAGAGCCATTGACATAGAACAAGAAGATAAGTACTTCTGACTTTACAGAAGAGTAGAATTTACAAAAGATGTTGACAATCCCAGCTTCTGTAGTTCATGGCAGGTCTACATTAAGCACAATTTGCAAGCTACCAAAAAAAAATACTGTATGTTTATATGTCAATATTTACAGTCATGTAAAAAAATATCATACTTTTTAATATATTTGAAGAGGCAGACAGTGCCTACAAATAAAGGTGATATACTCAAATAAGAACATAAGAAAAACATACCTTTTTGGCATTTACTTAATAGATTTATTGGTGTACTATGGAGAAGTCTCTCAAAAGCTAGTATTGCTCTTTTAGCAGAAATTACTTTTGTAGGCATTTTGTATAACTGTTCACCAGTCTCTGACAAGAACATTTTGACCAATTCTCCCTGCAAAATTAATTCAGTTGCAAGTTGTTTGTGGGCTTCCTTGCATGAACTTCTGGTTTCAAAATCAAAACCCTACAAAATGTAATTGGGAGTCAAATCAATGACTCCCAAAGTCCATAACCCTTTATTTCTTCCTTTCATACCATTCACTAGAGGATTCTATTTTTCACCCAAAAGTAACAGCTTGCAGTATTTTCAGAGCCCGTCATCCAATGTGGAAAGCTTGCCATTGTCACGTGCATTCTGTCAGTTTCAAGCTTATCTAATTACTGTAGCTACTTTGCTGTAGCTGATTACATATTGGCCCTTACTCCAAACCAAAACTCTGTTGGCTATATTTTGACAAAAGGTAAGAGAAAAGAACTGCACATGGAGGGACTGGCAGGGAATTAAAAAAGATGAATGGCTAGTGACAGTGGTAAGGACAGGGTGCAAATAATCTAAGGCCACAGCAGGGTATGGTAGATAATAAAGTATATCAGAGAATAAATACAGCATAGCATATGCTGTAGAATAAAGTATAAGAAGGCATAGAAGTGAAAAAATTGCAGATAAAAGGGATCAAAATCAGATAAGTTGCTATTGTGTAGCCCCATTTACAGCCCCATTTCTCGCCTGGAATCTCCCCTATTTATGGAACTATAAGCTGTGCAGTACACCAGAAAGCTGCTATAGTAAGCTGCAATTTAGAGTACCTCCATATGGGTTTACCAACCGAATTATGCAAAATGTTTCTATTGATTGCTGGGTCTTGCTAATTTATGTTTCTATTTTCACTGTATACTGGTTGATATGTTTTGATTACTGATACTGTATATATGATTATATCATTTTCTGTAAGGCTGCATTCAGACTTTTGTGGTGCATTACTGCACTGTGTTACTTTGCACATTAATATGCACTGTGGTACAGCAGCCCATTTAATTTAAATGGGCTGCCTGTGTGCCACAAAGCAGGGTTTAAAGCAACTGCTGCCATTTGTTTTCCAGAGGAGGGCACCAAAATGCAAAGATGGTTTCCATCTGTGCATTTTGGTGTGCTAACATGCATATTCATTGTAGTGCACTGGAAAGGTATGTTGCAGTAACATGCAGTAAAACACAAATTTAATTGGGTGTTATCCCATCACACAAATCTGCAGGAAGTCCAAATATGTCTACCTGAAACTTCTTTAACAAGAAGACCCCTCTGAATCTTTCTAAAGTTATAAAATAGCACCCTTTTCTGCCGTATCTATTAGTTTTAATAAAGGAAATCTGTTGTAAGATAATACATTTTTAGGAAAGACATTTTTATGTTTTGAATTCTGAGGTAATGGGCCTCCAAATGCGAAACCACACACTGAAACTGCAGAACGAGCGGCGGCCATATCGGCATCCGGTGAGTTCTGCTTATGCGCGCCACCGTCTTGGAGTGTATCTGAAAACAAATGCATGTATGCCCGAATATAGTATATTCGTGCATATAATAAATTTGTTATTTTGTATTTGGACAAACCAACGAATAAACTGAATTTCATTGATTTGCAGGTTCGTCCGAATCGGAATGCACATGTCTAGTAAATGGTAACATTAAACTTGGTATCAGTCCGTATATGCCGTTTTACCATTCCTAGGCCAGTTTTCAGTGACTGTCATGAAACACTGTACCCGAAGTAATTTAATGCCAATATTTAAGAAATATATAGCTTTCTTTTGGTAGTATTTAATAACCACTGGGCTTTTTGTTTTTACTATAGAAATTAAAAATATATCAACAAATGTTGGGGAAAAAACCCTGTTACCCTTACTTTCTGGTAACATAAAAAAATCCAGTACAGTATTAACAGACGAGAAATTACCCTTTTTTGGAAAGTAGACATTCCATGATGATCTTTTTGCTCGAATTTTTGGGAAATAAAGACACATGCTGGTATTAGGGGGTTAAAACATGGAGCTTGATAATGGTCACTAGATACCACACATCAGAATCTCAGGGATGAGGGGGTGAAGGGATTACTGTACATGTTACATGCAGTGTCAGGAAGGAGATGAAGGGGTTACTGTGCAGGTGTGAAGCATAGTGGGATTGAAAGGTTAATTAATATACAGGTCAAAATACAGAAGCAGAGTGGAGATTAGATGTTTAGGAGAGAATGGGACAGTGAAAGGGTTAAAGAAAATTCAGGCAATGAGAATGAATGAAGAATAAGAATTAATTAGCAGCAGCTGCTGCTGAACTATCTATCTGGTATAATTTTTTTAGGTGTGCAAGGATCCTGGAAACTGAGGGTAAAGATGCCCATACACCTTGCGATTATCGTACATTAATCACGGGAAATCCCGCAATCGTACGATAATCGCAAGGTGTATGGAAGGCGTGCAACCATTTCTACTGTATGGTCGCACGTCTTTTGTCTCCCGTGCAGGCTTGAAAACCCGCCGAGAATCATACGATTGTCAGCGGGGTAGTGCCGTTCTCAGGGGACAAATGCCCGTTCAGCACTGCAGTCATCAGAAGCCCGCCCCTCGGGGGCGGGCTTTTTCGATGATCGCAAGTACAATCTGCCTGTCCAAGATGGGTAGATCGTACAAGCTTTTAATTAGCTTACAACATTACGGTGCCCATAGACCTTACAACCATCACAAGACTTTTGTCTTGCAATGGATGTAAGGTCTATGGGCACCTTAATTCTGTATTTTTATTCTGCGTTATTAAGGTTCACTGAAGCCAGTAAGATCATTTGACTATTCTTAAAAACATTACCAGATCATTTTTGTTCCTTTCCCCTTTCCCCTAAATTTTGTTTCCCAGATGGCCACCAGAACAGAAAGTGAGGGGAAATCTGTTTAACAGGGGCACAAAAATATGTGGGTAAACTTCTAATTTAAAGTGTATGTAAAGCCAAATCTTTTTTTTAGTTTTGGATGAAGTTGTAAATGATCCATGTTATTTTTTTTGCTAGAAAATGGCAAATAAATGGGGAATTAATCCCAAACTTAAAAAATAAAAAAAATCTACAGGTGGAGACTAATGTGGCTTATATGGTCAACCCACCACATCAATAAATAGAAAAATGAAATATATACTTTATCAGATTGTATGTACAATACAATATCTGCGTAGAGGCTGGTAATGTATAATGATTTGTCATTACTGATAGATTCTTGTGTTGTTCATAGTGTTGTATAGATTGAATAAAGTATTTATATACATTTTTTACATACATTGATGTGTGTGGCTGACTAAATAAGCATTTAACAACAAGATTTAATTCTGTCTGTGTCCCTATTGGGTAGATTCACCCACGCTATTTGTCTTGGATCCCGTTATCACTAAGACGGAAAGCGATGGGGAATTAAAAATGTTTGTTTTGGCACCAAAACAAGAGGTGAGGGAACATCTTTAAATAGAAACACCTGTTCCAGAGACAACTCTTTTTTTAAGCAACCTTAACTACATAAGAATCCAAGCACCTAATCTGTAAACAAGGTTAATTGTATTGTATATTATATTGCTTTCATTATTTTAATAAGAACATTGAAGTAGTATACTAATCTGTATGTTTCTCCTTTTTCTTTTTCTTTATCTGAAATTATTTTGTTAAAATGCTAAGTAGTTAAGGAGACATTATTGTTCAAATGTGTCGACTACATGCATTTTATTCATAGGCCTATTTGGTCATTGTATTAATATCTTTAAATGCAGACATGCTTTGAAATAAATCTTCAGCTCAGCTAAATGATCTTCCTGAAATAAAAAGTAGATTATACTAGATAAGAAATTAAGAAATAAACACTGGTGTTAAATATTTCTGTGTTAGGGATGAGAAATTGGAAAACACAGACACAATGTATGGATTATTTGCTTAGTAAAAGCTGCATTGTTGTATGATTTTCAAGTTTTTCATTTGCATTTATAAATTTTGCACCTGCAGGTTTGTTCCAAAAAGCAATCATACAAAGTGGAACAGCCTTATCCAGCTGGGCAGTGAACTACCAGCCTGCCAAGTATACGAGGATATTGGCAGATAAAGTGGGTTGTGACATGCTGGATACTATTGACTTGGTTGAATGTCTTCGGGAGAAGAACTACAAAGAACTCATTCAGCAGTCCATCACACCAGCCACATACCACATTGCCTTTGGACCAGTCATTGATGGTGATGTCATTCCAGATGACCCACAGATACTCATGGAACAAGGGGAGTTCCTTAACTATGATATTATGCTTGGAGTTAATCAAGGGGAAGGTTTGAAATTTGTGGATGGTATAGTAGATAATGAAGATGGTGTTTCACTTAGTGACTTTGATTTTTCAGTCTCCAACTTTGTAGACAACCTGTATGGTTACCCGGAGGGGAAAGATACACTCCGAGAGACAATTAAGTTTATGTATACTGACTGGGCTGATAAAGAGAATCCAGAAACAAGAAGGAAAACTTTGGTTGCACTTTTCACAGATCACCAGTGGGTGGCACCTGCTGTTGCAACAGCTGATTTACATGCTCGATATGGTTCTCCAACCTATTTCTATGCATTTTATCACCATTGCCAAAGTGAAATGAAACCAAGCTGGGCTGATTCTGCCCATGGTGATGAAGTTCCTTATGTATTCGGTATTCCCATGATTGGACCCACTGAACTCTTCAACTGCAATTTCTCAAAGAATGATGTCATGCTCAGTGCAGTGGTTATGACATATTGGACTAACTTTGCCAAAACTGGGTATGTAGACCTTTTTCCTATCCTGTTACAGTAATATTTGTTTCAGCGTTCTTTGATATTTGTTCAGAAAATAGGTCAGTGTTCTATTTTAAGATAGATGATGCAAATAGTTTTCAATACCTAGTTAACAAATATATATGGTTTAAAAGATAATAAGTATGCTCCATCTATGAAATTCTGAATTTTAACAACATATCAAATCTTTAAACTATAAACCAGTTTTTTTCACTGTATAAATGTATCTTTTAGATTTAGTCGGAAAAGTATTTTTTGTGCACTGATATTTTTAGTGTGTTTTTATCCATTTAACTGTGCATTTTAACTGGTTTAATATTGGTTTGACAAACATTTGCACAATTATCGCAGAACCTACAAAATTACTACCATTATCTCGTTATTCTACTGGGCCTGTGCTTTCAGAAAATATATGGTTTGGGGGGTCTTTTACAAATGCTAGTAATGCAGCCTTAGAAAATAAAAATGATAGGAAAAATAGCAAAAATGGTGTGGCCAGCTGAGGTTAAAAGTGTTCCTGGAGGGATTGGCAACGAAAGGGTTAATACCAATTTAGATCACAAGAAATATGATTGATTTATATAATACATAATCTGTAATGTTGTTAACCCCCAGCTCTGTCTCTTGATGAACCTTTCTATTGACTGATGTGGCCACCCATCACACTAAGGGGTCTATTCACAAAGCTGCCGAAGGATCTAGGTGTAGCTTCGGCTGATCCTTCGGCTAGCTTTAGGAAAACGGAGGGGCTGCTATATGGGCCAAGCTTGGCCGAGCAGCTCAGTGGAGCCGAAGGCATATGCCTCTGCTCCACTGAGCCGAGGTGAGAGCCAAAGCTGCCTGAACAGCCTGCTACCGGCAGCTGGGCAAAGCCAGCCGTCATCTCACGGCTGGCTCGGGCCACTTGCAGAGACAGATCAGCGTCCCCTGGTTACCAGGTAACCAGGGATGCTGATCTGTCATTATCAGACATCCCAGCTCTACCGGATGCTCCGGGAGTCTCCCGCTATTAGATAGCGGCTCCCGGCTGCCCGGGAGAGAAACACTTTCTCCCGGAAAGGTTTACGAGCAGAGTAAACCTTTCCCTGCTCTCTTGGTTTTTTTTTTCTTTCTTCTGGCCACCGTCAGTCAGAAAAAAAAACAGCATAGGAATGCATAGCCACATTCTTATTGGCTATTTCACTTTGCAGTAGCCAATAGCAAACTAGCTATTGCCCCCGCCCACTGCTGTTTTCAATCAGCAGAAGGGACCTGAAGTTCTCCATCAGGTCCTCTTCTAGTGATTGACAGCAGCAGAGGACGGGTGCAATAGCCAGCAGCTGTCAGAATACTAAAAAAACTAACTTGCAGATAGCAAAGAAGCTATTGCTTCCTCTGCTATCTGCCATCATTTCAGGGGGGTGCTCTCTCCCAGCCTGCATTACAATGAGAGCTTAGCAGAGCCTGAGTTGATATGAAAGCCGACTCAGTACCATGAGAACGCATTAGAGTCGGCTTTCATATCACCTCCGGCTCTGCTAATCGGTTTTTATTTTTTTCAACTTTTTTCAACTGTTTTTCTATTCTGCTCGGGACCACAGAGGTCCCGAGCAGAATAGCCAAGTCGGATGCCGCTATGAGAATAGGCCAAAGAGCAGCGAGTAGCCTGCCGGTGGTTCGGCTCTGCTGATCCAGATGTTGGATCAGCTGAGTCGAACTCCTTCTGCACTTTGGGTTGGCCGAACATCCTGAACAGTACAAGCCTGAAGTGAATAGCCAAACAGCGTTCGGCTCACTTCACTTCGGGTCGGTTATTCACACGGCTGCCTTCGGGAGCTTTGTGAATAACCCCCTAAGTGACCAACAGTAGTACAAAAATGAGTGAGGCCCAAGCTTGACATTTTGTAAAAAAAAGTTGAGACCTGTATATGCATACAGCTGTCTACATTTTAGAATCTACTGATCATTTTGACATATGGTTCTTAATAAAGGTAGTCTCAGTTTATTTCTCTCATCATCTGGTACAACTGTCATAAGAGAAATATGCACACTGTCATTGCTAGTTGATAATGCTTGTTACTATCCTGTCTCTGGGTTCAATATGTTTACTGTTTTGAAGTTCTGGAACAAGCATGCAGCAAGTCAAGTCAGAGTGAAATAATTTTATGCTTGCTTGTTCTGCCTCATAATGATATAGCAGCCAAATATTATTCTCTCAGTACAGGTTTTCTTTAAGAAAAGAAACGTATCCTTCCCTAAAGTCCAAATTTAAGAAAACCTGATAATGTAATCATCTGATTAATCCCTGTAAGTAAGTGGAATTAAATATTAGATTACAATGCAGCACTTTACATTATTTATCATAAAGAAATGTGAGCTCTCTTTTTTATATACCGTAGATAACAATTTCTAAAATTTTGTTTATCATAGTTTCACTTCTTAAAAAATAATAATATAAATAATAATAATAATTTTAGCATTGAGGGGTAACAAATAAATACAATTGGAGGGTAAAAATCTTTACATTTATTTTGAACACAGCTTCTACAACAACAAAATATTTTAAAGTGAACCTGTACTTTGTCTCGCAGGGCTTACTGTAGTTACTCTGATGTTCTCTGAAAGATATGCCACACAGGGAGTTCAATGTTTTTAGTTAGTGAGCCATACATTTTTTTAATGGAAAAATAACAGGTTCCTTTAACAGGATAACCTCAAGAAATGTCTTTGTTAACTTTTTTGCACTCCCTCACTGCCTTGCTGCCAGATTGGCTCTTCCACTGCCCTTTTCCCAGACTAACTCTACCACTGTCCAGCTACCAGACTGGCTCTCCTACTTCCCTGTTGCCAGGAAGTCTGCCAAGCTTCACTTGCTGAATACATTTAAACTTACACATTCTCTGTGTGCTTTCCCCAACCCCTGTGATTTAGGCTCCTATTGTAGAATTGTGGGCAGGGAAATGTCAAATCACCTTTACCTTGTTGTACCACATATTTCCCAGGCAGTCTGATAGCAGGTCAAGGCAGCATGAGAAGAGAAAGGTAGACAGGGAGGTAGAAGCTTTTTGAAGTCCCTACTATTCTGATTTTATCATTTTGTATTAGGCCTATACTGTAGTTTATGACATACTGTATGTACATAAATTAAACAAATACTTAAAATATTGAAAAAGGTTCTACACTTTTATACATTACCATTATCACATTGTCTGTAGTGTGTTCAGTGTGTGCTTTATAGCTTCCAGTGCAGGAGCATAACTACAGCCAAAAGACCATGCCAAGCTGCTATGGGGCCCTCAGGTTATAAGCCTGTTGTTTGAATCTCTTGACCAGCCCCACTTCTCTAGGAAATATTATTACCTTACTTCAGCATAAAGAGACATGCAGGGAGAAGGTGACAACCAGGTAGATGAAGGGGCCAATTTTCTCCTATAAAGAATCTTTGCAAAGGGTTCAAGTGACATGAATGCTGTTCCAGGATGGGCCACTTATTACCACTTGCTCTGATGACAGAGTTTTCAGCATTCCTCTAAACCAGGGGTCTCAAACTCAATTCACTCGGGGGCCACTTGACATTTTTTTTTTCTCCCATGAGGGCAGCTTGCCAAATTTCATACTTTAAAATAAAATGTCATTATTTATGGTACTACAGACACTAATATACTCACAATAAGCCCCATTCATATCAGTAGGTTTAGGTGCAATTAGGGGTTCCTGCATCAAGAACTTGCGTTTTCCTGTAGCAGGAATCACTAATCTGGTTTTTACAATTGGCAACTGTCACCCATTCAAATTAATGATCAGGTGACAGCACCTCCATATAAACTGATGTATACTCATACATCCTACAACAAATCCTCTTGTTGTTCACATCATTTAGGCAGAAGCCTTCTAAAATGGGTAACAATTACAGTGAACCTGTGCATTGATTTGCTTGTGAAGGGCAAAGGTGAGGTTCACTTTAAAATAACTGTCGGAAAAAAAAAATCTAATTTCTAAAAGGTCTCATGTATATGGGCACCAAAATACATTTGTCTAAATGTGTTTGAAGCCAATATCTAAATAAGTCTGAAAGCGTGGATTTTTTTTTCTTAATGGCTGAAATCACACCTACACATTCAGCAGCATCTAGGTGCGTTTTGCACCAGGGCTGTTTAGACTGGTGTTTTTTGGCAGGTGACAGGCTCTCTTACTGGAGACATCAGGGGTCTATTAGGCCCCTAACATCTCCCCTGTCCTCCACTGCAGATGATCAAGCACAGGATTGTTACCAGCATTTCTGCTGGATCAGAATGGACATTCCCTGATCTGCTCCCTCTTGCCATTCTGACACCTTTTGCCATGGTCCCGGTCCCCCTTAGAGCAGCAGGAGTTCCCAAAAACCATGGTCGGAGGTGTGGCACCACCACAGACAGGTACAGGTGGTCCAAATCGTTAACCGCTTGCCGTCCGCCCGGACGGACAGCTAAAGTCCAATTGGTGGGTTGCCGTAATTAGACGGCTTTTTTCTGCTCTTGCGATTGCCCCCTAGCGCGCGCACTAGCATTTAAAATGCCCATTATTTACAGCCATTACTGGCTGTTTGACATACAACCGATTGGCGGCTCTATAGCCATTGATCTGTTTCGGTTGTATGTTGTGTTTTGCTTGCTCCCCCTCGAGTGCCGCCACTGCCTGGAGTGCCGCCCCCTCCTGACACCTCACCTTCAATCCCGGGAACCCGGGAGCCCATCTGTAGCCCGGGACCGGCTCGGGAGGGCGTCAGGAGGTAAGATGGGAGGGAGATCAGCATCTTCCTCCTTCCTGAACTCCCTCCGTACTGTGAATGAGGAAGTGATGTGTAATACATCACTTCCGCATTCACCTGCCAGTCATCTGGCTGCTATAGACAGAGAGAAGAAGCTGATGAAGCAGATCTTTGCTTCATCAGTTTCTTCTGGGGTCCTCAGGTGACATTAGGGGTCTTGGAGACCCCTAATGTCTCCATAAAGAGGACCTGTCAGTGT